CAATTGCTCCTGCTGTCTTAGGAGATCCAGGTAACCAAGGGTTGTGACTGCAGGTTTCCTGGGGTGGGGCTTGGAAATGGCCATGAGGTTGTAGCACAGGGAACGGGACCCTGGCCACCTCAGGATCAGGAACCAGGCTGGTCACTTCACAGGCGGCAGAAGCCTCTGTCTCTCCTCCTCTCCTTGATTCTGCCTGCCACCCCAAAACTGGTGCAGGAGGAACTCTCTGGAGGAGGGAAAATCCCCTTAATCACCGCCCCCTCCCCCATCTTGTCCTCTTTTCCAATTTTTTCTGCGTGTGTTTGAATTTTACTTACTTGTAGGTACAGAAAACTGCCTAAAACTTAAATATAGCCTACGGATGAATTACAGAGCTAACACCTGTATAATCACCATCCAGGTGAAAAATAGAGACATCTACCAGCGCCCAGCTAGAAGCCCTTGCACCTGTCCCCATACAGAACCTATCCCTCCTGCACAGGTGTCCACAGAGCCGACCCCTTCCCATGTCCCTTTTCTATCTCATTCCTTCCGCTCCATTCCTTTTGGCCTCTATTCCCTTAGTGTCCCAATTTCCTATTTTTTTTTACTTCTCCAGAAACCTCCCTCATCTTCCTAAACCAGTGCTCCAGGGCTCTCTCCATCTCTTCCCCCACGCTAGTATTGGAGAATCCGGATTTCCTTCCCAGAATGAGGCCTCTTCATCCTGGGAGCAGCAGCGAGAACAATGACAGGGACTCCGTGATCCAACAGCCCATACCAAGAGACTGAGGGCATCCAGTACGCTTGTGGGGTCCACCCTGGACCTGGGATGCTGCTATTATGACCTAGAGACCTGGATGCGCCCTGAGGCAGCGTCCACGGTCATTCGTGGGGAGGAAACTTACTTCACCTTGTATTTTGGGACAGTTCGAACTCGCGAACCTGAGACGGAGTGCAGGTGCACACCCTTGTGTGCAGAGCCTGTGTCCAGCTCCTGGGAGCCCCTGGAGACCCTGGGGAGGTCCCTGGTGAGGACGCTAAAGGGGAGCTCCGGTCTTCCGTTCTTAGTCCTGTGGCCACACGGGGGCGCCGCCGCGCTGCTCTCGGGCTGTGACTGAGCAGCTCTGGAGAGGACCGGGCTGGAGGCTGAGCGGGGCAGAGGTGGCTGATACAGACAGTGCATCCATGTCGTCCAATAGGCTATTCTAGCACTTATTCCAATTTTGACTTGGTATAGAAGGCTGTGTTGAAAATATTTTCCTCAAAATTTGCATGAGATTGCTTCAATTTTTCTAGCTTCCACAGCTGTTTCTCTTGCCTCTTGAAGTTTTCAAGGGCAGTTCTTTTCCCCCCACTTTCTGAAGTTTCATTGTGATGTATCCTGATGTGCATCTGTTTCCATCTACTTGACTGCGGGGGTGTAAATTTTTGTCTGTAAACTCTGAAAAGTTTACTTAAAATTTTAATATCAATTCATCCTCTCCATTCTTTTGAAACTTGTATTATTAAGTGGTTGGAAGTCCTTGACTGGTAGCCTAGCGTTCTCGTAGTTCTGTCTTGCTTGCCGTTACTTTTCCATTTACACTACTTCGTGGTGGTGCAGCTTTAATCTTCCAACTCATCTATTTAATTATTCATTTATATAATAATTTTTAAATTTTGAATAGCTCTTTTTTGTTCTCTGGTTGTGTATAACTTTATGTAATAATTGCAGTCTTGTTTCATAAATGCTACATTTTTCTTACCTCTTTCAGAGACCATTGAGAATAGGGTAGTGGACCAGTCAGGTCTTCTCGTTTTCTGCTTTCATGATATGAACTTTTTCTCACAGCACTTAGCTCAGTGGTAATTTTATACCTATCTTTGTAATTTCTGCTAAATTTCTCCTTTATGACAGTGCAACTGTCAAATCACTTTTGCTCTTCGTTGTTCTACAGTGTCTAGTAGATCTCGAGTTTCATCAGGGCCTTGAAATATACACTGAATGATGGACTTTAGTGTGCCTTGGGCAGTGAGGTCAAACTGCACCTTGATGTCCTCTTGAGCTCTGAGACTCACAGCCTCCTGTCACAGAACATTCTGGGACACTGAAACAGTCCACCTGCATGGGATGCAGAGTCACACCCACCACCTGATGGACAGGGAATCAATGGAAGATGAGGCACCAGGCCTCTGAGAGAAAATCCCCTGGTTCCACCCAAGCTCCACCACCTCCTTAACCTCTCTGAGTCTCCTTTTCGCTGTCTGAACAATAACATCACATATGGGGTTCCTCCTAGGTTTCCTCTGAGGATGAAATTTCACCCTCTAAGTACAACGCATGGTATTACTGCCTGAGACATATTGTGTTCCACTACTCATAGCTACTATAATTATGTTGATTACAGCATTTAGATCCTTTCCATTCTTTTGCTTTTATAAACCACAGTTCAAGAAGTGTCCTTAAACATACATTTTTGAGAACACGTGTGATTATGTTCTTTGGATAAATTCCTTAAAAAGACATTTCTGCATCAAAATGTAGGCATATTGAAATTGTTCAGATGTTTTGCAAAAGTCCCCTTTAGAAAATTTGTACCCAAGTTTTCAATGTTGTCAACCTTTATGCCAGTTGATTTTCCCAGTAGGGAAAATCAATGTAACTGGTGGCCACCATACTTTTGGAAATCATCCAAAAAAGAGCTATTCAAAATTTAAACCAATACGCTCATCAGTTACTTTCTTTGCCAAACTCATAGATTAAAATTCTTATTCCCATTTTCAATTTCACATTCTCATTTTTGTTCACATTAATTACTAACACATTTGTTTGACATTTGCATTTCTTCTTTTTCAAATGGCTTTCTAATATTCTTTATTATTTTTAAACTGCAATGTAGGTACTTAAAAATATTGAACTTAAGAGGGGGAAGAACAGCAGCTCCTGACATCTGGAAATTGGTCTGACACAGCTAGGACTCCATGTTGGGTGGTGCTGTCCCGGTGCTAACGGCAAGGACACATTTTTCCCCTGTTGAACATAAGCCATATGATTATTTATTTATTTTTTTTTTAAAGATGACCGGTAAGGGGATCTTAACCCTTGACTTGGTGTTGTCAGCACCACGCTCACCCAGTGAGCTAACCGGCCATCTCTATAAGGGATCTGAACCCTTGGCCTTGGTGTTATCAGCACCACACTCTCCCAAGTGAGCCACGGGCCGGCCCGAACATGAGCCATATTATAAAACAACATTAGACAAGGACATTCTGAGACCATGATAAAGTGAGACAAAGGGAAGGCACTGAGTAAACCACAAAATACCAAAAATCGCCCCCTGCTGGCTGCTATGAGTAGTGACTGTTTCATTATCAATCATAGTTTTATTGTTGTTCTGCTCTGCACTCATTATAGGTAAGATTTATTGAGGTCTGGTTGGTTGCTCAGTTGGTTAGAGTGCAGTGTTATAACATCAACTTCAAGGATTTGTATACCCAGATGGGCCAGCACCAAAAAAGAAAAAAAACAAATTGTTTCACACAGCACTCAGCCAGTGAGCGCACCAGCCATCCCTATATAGGGCCCGAACCTGCAGCCCCGCCACTCCCAGCGCCGCACTCTCCCGAGTAAGCCACAGGTTCGGCCTGCTCCTGCTTCTTCACAGCACCCAATCTAGAGTGAATCCGCTTCCTTAGCTCTTCCTCAAATCATCCAACCAAATCCCCAATCCTTCATTACGCTCTTTCTAACACCCTCATAATAAGACTGCCCATGGTTCCCCATGGTGTGCAGTCTCTCTTGTTGCAGTAAGTAATAAACCCATGTTGTTCAATTACCAGTGTGTTCCTCATGGACTTTAGCTGACGGATATTGATAAATGGTACCCTTTCATCTGTCAAATTTTTAATATGCCTTTGAGTTTGACTATGAGCATGTGTTTGTATATTTGTGGTTCTGTGGTTGACACACAGAAGTTCTTCTTATGGTTTTTCATCTTTAGCTCATGCTTAGAGAATCCTTCTTCACTCCACATTTGTAAAAACAATGCATATCTCATCTACCTAGAGGCAATGAGGGAAAAGGGTCCAAGGGTGAAGAGAAAAAGTTGTATGTTTGAATTTGGGAGAAAGCTGGGGGTGAGGAATGGGGATGCCCAAGAGGGAAAGAGTTCTCAGATTTAAATCTGTTGCTTAAAATTTTAAACATTTGTCTAAAAGTCTTATGGGGTATTTTATATATGTTGCCTTCAATAAATCTGTTTGTTGGGCTAAGTGCACACTTAGGTGCCTCCTTATACCCACCAGGTCAAAGAAACAATAACGTCAAGAGTCCCAATGAAATATACACAAGGATTAGCTCTGGTGATGGGCATTTTTGAAAATTATGGCCTTGAGGTAATAAAATATGTTTGGTTAATTTGTATACTCTAATTGTTAAACATATATTGATTAAACTTGCTCAGGCATGGTGTATTTTAGTGATATATCTAAGACCCACACAGACAAATCTATGGCTTTCGTATAAAGATAATTTTAATTTACTTCAATCTATGAGTCACAATGTATCTTTATTGGGGTGGGAGATTGAAAACTAAGAACACTCTACATATGCACTGCCCAAAGTGGTAACTACAAGCCTCATGGCTATTTATCTTTAAATACATCGAGTAAAATTAAAAAAAAAAAACAACTGTTTAGCGCACTAGCCACATTCTGATTGTTCAGTAGCCAAATGTAACTGGTGGCTACCATACTGATTATTGCAGATACAAACTATTTTCTCTGGCATCAAATTTCCAGGGAGTGGGTTCTCTTCTAGAAGAGCCCTGGGGCAGAGCATTGTAAGCTTTGGGAAGGAGAGAGTTCTCCTCAGGGAAAGGAATTCTGGAAAATGAACAAGAAGCTAAGAGGATGGGCCAGTTGAGAGACTCTCCAAGGCTTACTCATAACAGCAGTTCTCAAAGTGTAGTCTGTGGAACCCTTGGAGTTGCTGAGACCCTTTCCCAGGATGCACAACGTAGAACTCTTTTTATCATATCACTGATATTATTTGCACTGAAGTAAAACTTAGCAAGAATGAAGACTAAGGTGGCAAACTGCAGGGAGAGCTATTGTGTTCTTCGCCACCTCTTCATGCAAAAGAAAAAAATGAGTCAGTTTCACTTAAACATGTCCTGGTTGAACTATTAAAAGTATTAACTTTATTAAATCCCCATTCTAGAGTTTACATTTTAAAAATATGTTATATGATTAAGTGGGAAGTACATGTAAAGCCCTCCTACCACATCCCAAACTAGAATGTCTGTGTAAACGAAAATCATTTTGTGAGCTGTACTAACCTTTTTACGGAATACCATTTTTACTTAAAACAATGAATGATAGAGGATCATTATGGAGACTTGGGTATTTGGCCGACACTTTCTCAGAAATGAATGTGAGCTCATCCCTTCAAAAAACCCATTGACAGTATTTTTGCCAATGATAAAATGTCAGCTCTCAAGAGAAAGTCAGAAGTTTGGAGGACCTGCGAGCACCACCATCAGCGTGACAACTTCTCAATAGTTAACCACATTTTCTGGTGGGATTTGTGGTAATATTAACAAATATGATGTTTTGATAATTTGTAATTATCAATGTGTCAACACTGGGAGATCTATATAACTTGGAGAAACATGAATTATTATTTTTTAAATCATACATTAGCACAAGATCCATTCACTGTGCAACAAAGACCTACGGATTTTAATGTAACAAAATATGAAAGATTCCATGAGTGTCTCAGGTTCCACACTGCAGACAACCTTTAAGAATCTAACACTTGTGTCATCTTAGTGTAGTATCAAAGACAAGTATCCGAAATTATCTGAAAACTGTATTAAAAATATTCCTTCTGGGCCGAGCCCGTGGCGCACTCAGGTAGGGATGACCAGTGCGCTCACAGCGCTCACTGGCTGAGCGCGGTGCGGCCGGTCTCAAAAAGGACAAAAAAAAATAATATTCCTTCTACATATTTTGGGGGAGGCTGGGTTTCCTTGTTGTTGATGTTTTTCTTTTGTTTTTTGTCATATACTTTAAACAAAATTACAGATTAAATACAGAAATAGACATGAAAATCCAGCAGTCTTCTGAGACAAAGAAAGGACTTGCAAAAATGTAAAATGTAAAAAGATCCACTTTTCTAAATATAGTTTTATTTTGAAAGTAGTTATTTCTCATTAAAGATATTTTTGTTGTTGTTAAAATGAAACGGGTTATTAATGTTCAAATGAATTAAATATCTTTAAAACAGGTTTAATTTTTAATATGGTATTTTTTTTTGGATAAACAATTTATTTGGGGGTTAATGAAAACATACAAGGGTATTTCGATAATTTCATGAAAAACTTGAGTTAAAAGATAACACGAACCCTTCCATGAACTTTTTGAAGATCCTCAAGCATCATCTACTGCTTTAGCAATGTAAAGTAAGGCAAATCATAACTAAAGCCAAAATGTTTCATTATTTTATTTATACTAAGTTTCTATTTTTATTGTCAGAGCTAGGGCTCAGACCCTTCAAACCCATTGTACAGACTGGGTCCCCAGACCGCTCACATACCAGGCTGGGTCCCCAGACCGCTCACACACCAGGCTGGGTCCCAAGACTCCTCACATGCCAAGCTGGGTCCCCAGACCGCTCACACACCAGGCTGGGTCCCAAGGCTCCTCACATGCCAAGCTGGGTCCCCAGACCG